TTTCTCAACCTTGGCCCCTTTAAGAGGGGTGGACTTCAACTCCCAGAATTGCCCAGCCAGTGTTAAGGCTTAAGGCTGAATCTAGTTTCCGGATGAAGTCGCCCCTTCCACCAAAGTTTGCATAAGCCAGCAAACCACAGGTAGTCCTTGACTGATGACCACGGTTGAGTCCCAAATTTCTGTGGCTAAGCGAGAAGGTTCTTGGGTGAATCTTGACTTTTTCTGCCACCGTTGTTAAGCGAATCTGGCTTCCCCGTTGACTTTGATTCTCAGAAGGTCGCAAAAGGGGATCGTGTGACCTCCAGAGCACTGCAACCGCCATAAATATGAGTCTGTTGCCAAGCGTCTGAAATTTCATCAACAATGGGGAAGCTGCAACGGTCGTACGTGTGAAAAACGGTGCAAGGTCGCTTTTGTCAGTGCCGTTGTAGCTTCAAAGGGTTACTAAACGAACTGTTGTAAGTCGAGGGCTGCCTGTACTATGATTTAGTTGAGCGCGCGGACTCCAATTTCTGCTATTTTTAAAGTTTTCATTGCACTGGCCTTCTGAGCGTAAATCCTGAAGATGTTTTCCCAGAAGAGACTGGGAATTTGTACGGCAAAGATCGAAGATCTGGAGGGTCTCGCCAGGGTGGGCTGCTGGGGGCTCGCAGGGGTTCAGGCCATTCCCCCAACTAAGACTCTGCCTGGCTCAACGAACCCCCAATAACCTCAGAGAAACAAGCAGCCGCACTAGAATAGTAAATGGACTTCCCCCCCCCCCCCGGCTTTTTTTCCTTTCTGGGCATTCAGCCAAGAGCATTTAACACCTGGTAAAAGTGTGGCAAGCTAAATAAAGTGCTTGCCAAGGGAGATCCATTGAGAAAATCAGATAAGCTAGCCACTAGAAACTCCCTGCCCTGCCTCCGAGGGGGTTAATTCCAGGGGTGGGATTCAAATTTTTGGACAACCAATGTCCTGGTTACCTTCTGGTCTGGAGAAAAACCCTCCCAGGAACAGACTTTGGCTGCAGAGAATCAAGTCCAAAACAGAGTCAACACAAACTGTAATTTAAAGTCCATACAAGCCAAACTGAAGTAATTAGTTTGGCAGGGCAGGAGCAAGAATTTCAGATTTGAAGGAATGGCAAAACTCACACGGTTGGGAAAATGCCAGGAACACAGATAAGCCATGACAACACAGGATTAAAGTCACGTTTGTTCCCAGCAGACGCTGCACTCAGCATGCATCTCTTTTAAATTCTCTTCCCAGGTGTGGCTAATGAAGGGAATCAGGGCCCTTTCCTCCCCCGTAAGCCATGCAACCCACGTTGCTCTCTTCTCCGTTCCTCCCTGCGTGCCCTAGGATGAAGAGGGGGTGGGCCTGGGTTTTCCTCTGAGCCCCCTCTCCCTTGTTCTACCTCTCTCCTGCTCTGCCCAGCCGGGCTTTGCCCTTCCCCAGTTTCCTCCACAGCCAATGGAGCCACACTCCCGCTCCCTGTCAGCTGTTCGTCTTCCTCCTCGGATTCAGACTCCGACAGGGGCATGACAAGATGTATATTTGAATTCTGACGTAGGCGGTAATTATTTTTCCCCCTCTTTATTCCACAGTGTGTCCCCTTTTGCAGCCCAATTTTTGGAGGTCTCTGCGAAGGAAAAAACATTTTAATCCAAGGCTGCGTCATAGTCTCTGCCAAAAGGTTTGTTGACTTTTGATTGGGGTTGACTCATCCGTTCCTTCCTTCCATTCGTTTCAATTTCACCTCCTATCCCCCTCCCCACCCAGCTGCCCTGAAGGGTGTTCCATTTTTTTTTATGGCTTGATTATCCCTGCTTGGAAGAAAGGACGACTAAAGTCAAAGGGCCAAGTGGCTTTTGTGTTTTTTGTGACTATTGAACGGGAGAAAGCATTAACATCGCACGCACAACCTTGCTGGAGCAGCTCAAAGTCCATTTTAATCCAGCATTTGCTTGCTTATGGATAAAATCTGAGAATTCTGTTGCTCTTCAAGCTTATCAGGTCCAACCTCTGCTTCCTGCAGAATCAGCTAACGCAGGGATGTCCAACCTTGGCAACTTTAAGACCTGTGGACTTCAACTCCCAGAAGCGTAGCTGGCTGGGGAATTCTGGGAGTTGAAGTCCGGAAGTCTTAAAGTTGTCAAGATTGGACGCCCAGCCTTGCTGTAGATCATTTTAGAGGTCAAAAGATGGCACTTGAAGAATGTACATTCAGCCACGGGGGGCCTTTGGTGTTCCAGATTCTCTGTGAACCTGGTGTGTGCAAATGGGGATATCGCCTTCCACTTCAACCCACGGTTTGATGAAGGCAACATCATTGTCTGCAACACGCAAGAAAAAGGCTGCTGGGGACCCGAGGAACGGACGTCCACAATGCTCTTCCAGCGAGGCGTCTCTTTTCAAGTGATCATCAACATCAGGAGCTGTGGTTACCAGGTAAAAACAGGAGCAGAAGGCTAGTGCCAGTATGGATAGGGTTATAGTTATAGGTGGCTAGTCTAGTGAAGAGAAGGACCAGGGGAGACAGGATAGCAGTCTTCCAATATTTGGGGGTGTGGGGTGGCTGCCCCAGAGAGGAAGGGGTCAAGCTATTTTCTCCAGCACCCGAAGGCCAGACAAGGAACAATGGATGGAAATTGAACAAGGAGAGATTTCAACCGCGAAACAAGGAGCAATTTTCTGACAGGGAGAACAATCAACCAACGGAACAGAAGTTGCCATTAGAAGTTGTGGAAGCTTCATCACTTGAGACTTTCAAGAAGAGACTGGACTGCCATCTGTCAGAAATGGTGTAGGGTCTCCCGCTTGGGCAGAGGGGGTTGGACTAGATGACCTACAAGGTCCCTTCCAACTGGGATTATCTGTTATCTGGCTGCCCTGGGACAGCCAATAGGAGTTATAGTGCAGTCAGTGCATCAGGGCGCCTGGAGGAATGGTCCTTAAATCAGGAAAAGGTAAGGAGAAATTGAATTTGATCCACTCTTCACTGAATTCGTTCTAAAATTGAGCTCCAAATTGCTTCCTTTATTGCTTCCTCCAGCCGCCCCCTGGTGGTGCTGCTGCACTGGTTCATGTTTGCTGCCCCCTAGTGAATATATTGCGGAATTGCTACCAATTGCATTTTAGAATAGATGCTTCCAAATAGAAATATTTTTTATTATGCCTTACCTGAAGTTACATCTGTTCTTCTTTTCTCTTCTCAAAATATGTCCATGAGAAGTAGTTGCAATGGTCACACAACAAAGACCTGTGGATTTATCTAGTCCATTGTTTGCTAATAACCTCAGCAACTTTAAGATATAAGGACTTCAATTCCCAGAATTCACCAGCCGGCATGTTTTACGATATGTGGGCTTCAGTTCCCAGAATTCTGCACTAATGTGGAGACTTCAGCTCCCAGAATTCCCCAGTCAATTTGCTGGCTGGGTGAATTCTGGGGATTGAAGTCCACATATCCTAAAGTTCCAAGGCTGAGAAACATCAGTCAAGACATTCCATGTTTGTTTCTTTCTACACACACGATTTCACTTCTCATTCTGTTCTTTTTCCTTCTTTAGGTTTCTATCAATGGCAGCCAGTTCATAGACTACCGACACCGCCTTCCCATGAATCTGGTCCAGACTCTGCAGATCAAAGGGGACGTCTCCTTGAGCTGCATCAATTTCACAGGAGGATTCGTGAGTATTGCTATCAGCCTCTCTAACCTCCAGGTTAAATTTGCCAGCATGGATTTCGTGACTTCAGTTGCAGGAAACAGAAGTTTCTGCACTGGTGCACTGATGATGTTACCTAGTATGGTAATAAGATGTCTGCAAGAGAACTACCAAACTCAGAAAGCACCAAGTAATCCACCATTATTCTCCTCCTCCTCTTCCTCCTCCTCCTCTCCTGCCAAACCCCACTCCCTTCTAACACTGATGATGTTACCTAGTTGGGTATTGAAATGTCCTCAAGAAAATCACAAAGTTCAGAGAGCACCAAGGACTCTACCATTCAAATCTGAGCTGTAAATATTATCTTCTATCAGTACAGACGTCTCTGTTATCCTGGGTGAATCCTGGGAGTTGTCAAGTTCAATAAATCTTCTCTTTGGAAAGCGAGGGCTGCCTCCCAAAATTCTTTGCTTATCCATGAAAGTCCTTCCTTAGTAGGAAAAACGCTGCTAACTCAGGTTGTCCTATTGTGAATTAGGGTTTATTCCATGCTTGTTTCTACTCCTTCTGCCTGGAAGGATGTTATGAACTTTATGCCTTTTTATTCTTAGTTCTTCTGGGTATGTGTGTGTCTGAGTATCTTTATATATATATTTATATCTATCTATATCTATCTATCTATATATCTATCTCTATCTATCCATCCATCTCTCTCTCTCTCTCTCATCTATCATCTATCTACCTATCTCTATCCATGCATCTCTCCCTCTCTCATCTATCTATCTATCTATCTATCTATCTATCTATCTATCTATCTATC